TATTTGGACAAAACCCGGGCCCGGCTCGAATTTATTGCGGGCCGGGCTTTTTGGCCTGAATTTAAGCCTGCGGGCCTATAAGCATGTTCAAGCCCGTCCGGGGGTCGGGCCGGGCCGTCGGGCCACCCGGCCCATGAACAGGTCTAGCCGTAGGTGATCAGTCGGTAGGGTGTGAGGGTTGAGAGGAGTGAGGAGGGAACTCGGGAAATGGGAAATAACACTAAAGCTAAGGGGAAAATCGAATTAGGATTTGAACTGGTTGGGATATAATGGGTATTTTATTTTTGTTTTTTATTTAAAGCATTAAAAATAAAAATTTAACCCACGAACCGCTGTCCGGGTCGAACGGTTTAGCGGTCCGATCGCCCAGGTCAGTGGTTTTTTTGACTTTTCAACATTTTTTTCAATTTTTCGGTTTCTAGTAAAACCGAACCCGGATGACTGACCGGTTACCAGTTTTTCCGGTTCAACCATCTAGTCCAGTCCGATTTTGAAAATCATGCTCCTACCAACTCTCTCTCTCTCTCTTTCCTGTCATCTCTCTCCTTATAAATTATAAGAATGCCACTCTCTCTCCAATTGAGGGAGACCTCATCTCTGCATCTCGGCTACTAGGGGACCTGCAACCAAAGGTAGTCGAGTTCAAGTCGAGCCGAGCTCGAACTTCAGAGCTCAAGCTCAAGTCTCTAATTCAAATCAAGCTCGAGCTAGACGATACCTCGATCAATGAGGGAGACCTTGGCTCAGCACCTCGGTCACTGAGGGAGATCTTGGTGCAACACCTCGACAACTAAGGGAGACCTCAGCTTGGCACCTTGTCAACTAAGGGAGACCTTCGCTCAACAACTTGCCTGCTAGGGAAAACCTTAGTTCGACACTTTAGCATTTGAGGGAGACCTCGATTTGGCACCTCGGCAATTGAAGGAGATCTTGGCTCAAAACCTTAGCTCAGCACCTCGGCTGCTTGAGAGACTTGTAGCGAAAGGTGGTCGAGCACAATCTTTCGAGCCTTTTACTCGAAACAAGCTCAAGCTCATGCTCAAGTCTTTAATTCGAATCGAGCTCGAGCATTATAGTTTATGAGCGAGTCCCTAGAACACAAGACCCCCCTCCGCTAGTTAATCTAAATTAAAATAAATTTGGACAGATTAAACAGTCCAAACATTGAGTTGAACCAATCCGAAATGGTCTAAAATATTCATTAAATTGGTTTGAACTTGGTCCTTTATAATGGACTCTCATTTGACCGGATAGGATTGGACCAAATCCAGTCCAACTGACACTCCTACCCAAGAGCACCATAACTTTGATATGGTAGACATAATATTCTAAATCAGTTGCCCATGACCACTAATCTTCAATCTAAGAAACAAGCATAAAAAAATGAAAAAAAATGGGGCCAACCTGAACCCAAACCAAACCCAGCCTGATCACTACACGAGACCTTGGCCTAAAGCTTTGGGCATAGTTTAGGCCTAGTTTTATTTGTCAATTTGATTCCTCAAGTGAGGTATTTTATAGATTTAAATAACTACATATATGGGATAAATATATTTCATAAAAGATGGAAAGATCGGTTAGACTCAGGGTTGTGCGAGGCTCGGGTTGGGTTGGGCTTGGCTCGATTTTAGCTTAGACCTACCTAGTACCTTCTCATGCTCCAACTCAAGCTCAATGAGCCCAGCCTTCATTCGAAAAACCCAAGCCCAGCTCGTGCGATGCCTCCGATAGATTGCATTTTGTCTATTTTTAATCGCGAGTTGATCATATTTCTTCATATCCATGTGAATATATTATAATCCAACGTTTTAAAATAAAATGTGTAAATGATGTATGCATTTTCGATGTACTCCAGCAGATCCCGTATACAATTTATTGTGTTCTGTACAAAGATTCCAATCCAAAGCTTTGTGCTATAGATCTGAAATCTGCAATATGGATCCTATTCTATTCCATCATAACGTTTTAGGTTGTTCAGTTCTATACTTCATCAGTTCGGCGCTTTTAGGGTTTTGGCTCTTAGGGTTGCTGCAACGAGCGGAGAGGTAGAGAGGCAACAGCAGCAGCAGTCATGGTTCTGAAGTACGTTCTCCTTCCTTTTCCTTTTCTTTTCTCTTTGTGAAATCAAGTTCCATCCTCCGTTAAAATCATGCTCTGCCTTTCGACTAATCGATTATTCTGATGATTGTTATCTCCCTCTTTCGCTCATATTTTATTTTTGAATTTCTTGTTGGGATGGTTCGGATGAAGTTAGGAATCTGCAGAAACCGATTACATGATATCAAACGTCGTAGGTTTAGGACTGGGTCTTTAATGCGAACTGTATTTCATGAATACATCTTCTAGATATGTACTCAAATGGGGTTTCTTTCTGAACTTTGTATCGTTCATTGGGGATGAGCTTTGAGGTTTATGAATTTTGTGTTTCAGCTATTGATTTTGTCTGGTGCCTTTTTCTCCCAAAGTCTCAATATTTGATAATGTTTAGGATATTATTAGATTCAATCGTTTACCAATCACTTCTATTTTATAATTGCATCCATTACTGTATTAAGATCCTTACAATGGTATCTTCGCTAAAAAACTAGTGGGTCACCACGTAAATCTAGATAATCGAACTGATATAAGAATTTAAGATTCACTCTTAATCGTAATCTTGTGGCGATTTAACGACCTTTTAGATTTAATCATTTGCCAATCACTTATATTTTGAAATTGTGTTTATTTCCATTTCAGTTAAGATTTCCTAATAGATTACCATACCAAAACCYTGATGATGTTTCCTATTGCTGACTGTTTGTGGCTTAACACAGGGATCTGGATAACTGAACTAATTTAAAGTTAATTAAATTCAATCATAACTTTGTGGTGATTTTAGTTATCCTTGATGATGATATCAATAGGTTGTTTGGTTATTATTTTATCCTTAATTGGTTCTGTAAATGYTATCTTTTTAGGCTGTATTTGTTTGTGATACAAACACAGAACCTGGGTTTTTATGCATCCCGGTTCAGATTTTTGAGTGTTTGTTTGAAATACAAAAATGCAACGATTAGGAGAGGAAAAATATATTTTTTGACATTTTCGTAGTGTGAGAGTGCATTACTGTACCTACTTTTTGGCTACAAATTAGTATTTTTTGAATCTTGAGCTGATCTGATTCAATTGGAGAGAGACCATTGTACAGCCTTTTGCATCAATTTAAAACAAACAGGAAGAGAACAAAAATGGGTTAGAATTTAAAACGAACTTTGCATCCTTGAACCGAAAAAAGGTATTTATGCATGGAACATATTTGCGTTTGTATCAATCCATACAAGTAGTTAAATTAGTTATTTATCATTGTAGTCAGAATGTACAAGCACTTGTTTGCAACTCAAACTTAAATTTGGTCTTACCGTTGATGTTATGTCTTCTAATTCTCAAACATCCACATTATCTGTGTTAA